AAGTATCTGTTCTTTTACTCAAGTACGGAAAGTGAGTACTTTTGCCATCTCAGCCTATTTATCTTTTATTCTAGGAAAGAAAAGATCAAAACTTTAAAAGACATTCAGAAAATCCGAGGTCTATTGACAACTTAAAATTGTAGTAAAAGTTTGCACTTGGATTAATTTGTCTCTGCAAGTTTAAAGCAAACAAAAGCTTTCAAGCTAAGGCTACAGTAAAATGTGTCTGCTCGGTGTCATTAAATGTGTGTAAACATGTGTGCACTGGGCAGGAGCGACACTGACCCCAGCAGTGTGGCTCATCAACAGCTTACCTCTCAGCACACTCTGTGGTTACAGAGATTTTCTTGCTGTAACTGGAGCAGGCTCAGTTGCCCCCAGCTGCTCTGCTGGATGAACAGTAATGGGATCCAGCGGGCGCCTTCGACAGATAGCTTTCTCCCAGTCACATGGTGAGAAATATGCCTCAGGGGGAAGAAAAGTCACATTCTCTAGCTAATGATACACCCCCTGTGAAGCCAAGCATGTCAGATCTAAGGAAACTTAAAGAAGCGTTTTGGTCAATGAACATGTGCAACAGATAGAATGCTAAAAATATCCAAAAACTTCAGCTGCTTTACATTAATTCTATCTGCTATTGATTAATAATAATAGTTTGTTATACAGGGCATGCGTGAATAATGAAGGAATAACATAAAATGACTTAAATAGAAGAGTGTCTGCATCTGAAGCAGATCCTCAATGAGGCCACGGCTGAAGAATGCACAGCGTCATGAGGATGGTTTCATTGAGATTTGACCTACTTTTATCTCAGTTGTGTTCATTTTCTGCTGAGGCAGCCGTTCAGCTTGGATGGTCTGCACTGTCAAGTAAAATCTTTACAAGCATAAAAAAAAAAAACATTGTTCCATCATCAGCTTTTTCTGTTATATGATGCATGTGGAATTTTCATTGACCTACAAAATAGGAACATTTTAAAAAGGGTCTGATTGTAGAAACCTGATCCCGCAGGTTTCAGTCTTATCTACAGTCTGTGCAGTAATGTTGGTTAATCTTACAGCCTAGGTTATAGCAGACAGTGCTGACAAACAGCAGGGCTGCAGAGAATAAGACTGCGAAGCGGAACACAGGCACAGGGAGGTCATGTTTTATAAATTGGTATGCAACTTAAAAATTCACAGCAAAACTATAAATAAATAATTGATTAAAAAAACTAAAATTAGGGTCAAGCGAAACAAATCTAATCTGTTATTTTATTATCTCTACAAGCTTCCCTAGCTTAATTAAATCAGAGCTCAATAATTCAAATTTAAAGTAATTTTTCTATTTATCAGGTCTATAGATATGAATATATGTTGCTTTTTTAAATGTGAAGGAGCAACAAATTTTACAGGGTGACAGAAAGAAAGAACTGTCTTTTTGTTTTTCCTTTTTTTTTTTTTTTACCAGCTTACTAGTCATTAAACCAGTTAGTCTCCTCCTAAAGTCAATCAGCCAACCAGCCAATCAAACCAACTAAGCAAGCATCAATAAAGAAGCTAACTAAGGAACCAACCAGTCATTAAAAAAGCAGAGATCCCAAGAAAAAAACTGACCAAATAAGCAGCTAAACTACCAAAAGTTATAACAACCGATGAGCAAACTGGCCAACAGGCAGACCAATCAGGTGACCAACTAACCAACCAATAGAAACCCCCGTTTTGAGACCATCAAGAATCTTTGGCAGGATTTTTTTGCATGTGTTCAAACTTCCAGCCAGTGGATTATAGTTATTTAAAGTAGGAAAGCTGGAAAACAGACCTGAGCAGACCTTCCTGACCAACATTCCCTAAGTGCATTCTTTGGGTTTCTGCTTAAAAGGTGTATCAGCGCTGTTCACAGAGGAGCAGGTTATTTCCTTCATAAGCTGTTCTCAAAAGGCCAGGAGGCAAATGCAGACAAAGGCATGAAAGCTACTAATAGTCTAATAGACTATTAGTAGCTTTCAAGCCTTTAGTGTTCATTACAGATGTAATCAGACTGTGTATCAATATTTAAAGTTACCTACCTACATTTGTAACTATATGTAACTATAAAACATTGTGTACAAAAATGCATGTTGCACACACACATAAATGATGTTGCAAATGCATAAAGCATGTTTTACACAAACAAATCTTATCACTCACAAATAAACATGTTGCACTGAAATAAATCTTATTGTTCACAAATAAAGCTTTTTTTCAAACTGTCCTTAAAGGGGAATTTTGTTTTGTTTTTTACATTGGGCCCTTGATTTTATGTTATTATATCATGTTCCACTCACCCATATGAGTTTTGTAGCACTACAATGATCTATAGTGTAATTATTGGCTGTTTTATGCTTATAATAACTAAGAAAAAATCTCTAAAAATAAAGTTTAACAAATATTCCCAAAGTAAGGATTGTAGTATGATTCAGATGCTAGAAGTTATCTATGTGTGCTATAAATTTGGCGACACTACAATGATCTATAGTGTAATTATTGGCTGTTTTATGCTTATAATAACTAAGAAAAAAATCTCTAAAAACAAAGTTTAGCAAATATTCCCAAAGTAAGAGTTGTAGTATGATTCAGATGCTAGATGTTATCTATGTGTGCTATAAATTTGGCGACACTACAATGATCCATAGTGTAATTATTGGCTGTTATATATATACTACTGTGTTCTACATCTAACAACAATCTGGATTAGAATGTGGGGTTATTTCATAGAAGCCTTTGTTCTAAAGCAGGCGTATAAACTCCCACCAAGTTTGACCCTGCAGGAAAATGTATGTATGGCAGAAAAGCAAACCAAGACAACACTGAGCCCACAGTAAAACACAGTGGTGGCAGAATCATACTATGAGGTTCTGTCTTTTCAGATGGAACAGGGATGAAATTCTAAAAAAAGGTTTTATTCACATCTTTTCATTGCATTGAAATGTTCGGTTCACCCAAAGTAACAAAACAGAATCTAAAGTTCTGGAAAGATCCAGCCGGAGACCAGAACTAATCTGATAGATAATCTGTACAGCCACTGGAAGAGGACTTTAAAAAAAAGGTGTCTTCAATATCTGATAGATATTAAGAACTCTTTTAACCAGGTTTCTTTAGCAGTAGTTTTTGTTTCTCAGATTAATTGTCCAAAAATATGTCAGAACAAAGATGGAAACAGTTTAGAAAGAATCTTCCTTCAACATAACCTGCTTTCTATGATGTCTTGGCATTCTGTGTGCTCCTTTTCTCTGGTGTATTCCAGCTAAATGTCACACTTTTGTTTATCCTTGTGGCGCAAGGGTACGGCATTTGCTTGTAATCCACCATTGCCTTTGGACGGATCGGTTTACGAAAACGTGATTGAAAATTTGCTGCACCTTCCTTTTCCATGAAGGATAATAAGATTCAACGCGGTGAGTTTTGGGTTACTAATCGGCCACAGTCCAGATTAAGCTCCCATGGTACATGTACAGGAACCTGGTATGGCGTTATGGCACCTCTCTGCTCTCAGTGAAACGTGCCGCCTATGGAGGCTTTTTACTGAGTTGCACTTCACTGGAATGAGAGACAGCTGTTTTCCTTTGCGGAACATGTTGTTGGTGAAACAAGATCCTCACATATCAATGCTGCTGTAACCGTGGGAGTCCCCCGAAAAAAAAAAAAAGACAAAAGGGAAAGTAAAGACCATTCAGACCAGTCTGAAAACATATGGATAAACCCCTAAAATCAGTTAAATCAGTTTATTTTAGAAACAACTGGTCAATGTACTACAGCCACGTTAAGTGAATTTAAATATATTTATTTTTGAGAGGCTCATCTCTCAGATTAACTCAACTCAGTACAATCAAAATTCATTTGTTTCCTACATCAAAGCAGATATTACACATAATTTTCTTGAAGCACCAAATCTCTGCATGAAAAGGTGTTTTAAAATGGTCTGGTTTGATAATCTTATCCAAAATGTCTCGTTTTTTTATATAGCTGCAGCAGAAAATCATTACAATTAATAGAAAAAAAGGCTGAAAGACATCAGTCTGTGAGTAATTTATAAACATAATGTGATTCACTTAGTGACTTGAATGTCTGAAATAAATGGGCTCAATAATGAATTAATAAAAAAAAAAAAGGAGAAAGTCTATTTTTGTGAACTTTTACCTTGGTCTAAAGAGAGCTCTTATATGGCAGCTCACAGAGCTCTGTTTAATCCTTCAACTGGAAATGGAAATAATCTGGCCCAGTTTGTAATCTACTAAAACATGATCTTCCACCTAAACGGACTAAATGAGCTAAAGAACAAGTCCATGGTGTCTGCAGGGGAGCTGCATGGGTGCAAAGCTCAGCTAGGAGAGAATCAATTAGCAAAACAACTACAGTATTAGTCGTTTACATCAGATAATATCACTATCAGGGAACAGCAGTGGAGCCAATAGAAATATGTTTTTCACATTGCGGAACAAAGCAAACCTCACTTAAGGTGCTCTTGTATAATCCAGATCACCCTGAAACACCTGTCCAGCTATGAAACATGGTGGTGAAACCATAATGCTGTGGGAATGCTCTTCTTAAGCAGGAACAAGGAATCTGATCAGAGTCAACGGGGGAAACGGAAGAAGCAAAATTAGCTGAACAGAATAGAGGATGAGGAGAAATGTCAGTTTACAGGAAAACGACGACATATGGGTGATCATAGTGAAGGATGTATAGCTGCTTTTCATGAGGACTCAGTCCAGATACTGGTTATAGATGTGATTAAAGTGTTTCCCTTTGGTTTTACAGATGAAGTCAGGTCATGGCTCTGATGTGAGCGCCGCATAATGAAGAGCAAACAAAAACCCCAGGCATTGACCTCATGTAGTTGGTCAGCAAATGCATTAACCTGTTCACACTCGGCACCCTCTGGTGGTGAATCATTATAGCGACAATATATCCTTAAGATAAGTTTAACTTTAAAAAAATCTTAGTAAAAAAACCCCCATCTCAAATAAAATAGTCAAGAACTCCTCATGATGCATGTGTTTAAAGGAAGCTGCACAACAGAACCATTATCCAAAGGTTTAATGAGGAAACTGTGATGGACCGCTGTAGTTCAGCTTTTAACATCCTTCGTGCAGATTTTAAAGAAAAACAAACATATTTTCTATATCAACACTGTGGAGAAAGTCCAATTACACACACACAAAAAAAGAAACAGTCTGAATCAATGATCTGCATGAAATACCAGCAAGAAAAAAAACAATCTGCAATGAGATTAAAGGATAAACAGAAAAAAGGTGATTTATGGCATCAAACATGTCAGGACTCTGAGGTATGAGCATTGCAAAGAAAACATGTTTGTTGACTAAACTTAGAGAACAGCAATGACATTTACAGCAGTCATAAGTTTTTAAATGTATAGATTATAAACCATGTTGCTTTACAATGCAAATCAATTAGCAGGATGTTCTCATTAAAAGTCAGAAATAAAAAAAAAACACTTTTATGTTGAAATACAAAATATCAAATGAAAATACAAGTATTTTTTATCATTATAAAATACAGATTAAAAAGAAAACTTTTTGTTTCATGTTACGCTTTGATCTATAGGAAGCACTGTGTCGTCTTTGCATTAAGAGTTATTCATTTTTAGCTTCAAACAGACATAGAAAAGGACATATAATAAAATTATAGATTCAGAATCCTGTTTGTTGTAATCTAAGCTAATCTAAGGAAACATTATCTCCTTCACCATATAAGGTCAATTAAGTCAGAACTTAGAAAAATAAGTAAATTAATTTATAAAGAAAGTCAAAGTTATCATAAAAAATCATATCATTCATTTTAGAGGCAAAAAAAATAACTTGATGGGTTCATATAAGAAAATCCTACAAGCAAAACATGCACAGAACCTCACAGCCTTCAGAGTCTTTATTGTTAGATTGCTCCTTCAAATTCAACTTTCCAAAGATCGCCCTGCTTGGCAAAAATAGCTCCACAAATCAAAACCTAGAATCAGTTGATAGACGATCCCTCCAGATGCACTTCCAGACTTATGAAGCCTTCCCTCTCTTATCTTGCAGCTGCTGCTGAAACACATAACAGGATTAATGGTGAAATACAAGCTGGCAACGAAGCTTCCTGACGTTTTATCAGGAAAATCTGAAGACATCAAATAGTTTGCAACTAAAAAATTCCTATGGTGTGAATTCATTTCCTTCTGCAGCTTTCAGGCGAGGCAAGTGGTAGGGAAGGAAAGAAGGATCTCTTCCCAGATTTAATATTTATTTTCTCTAGGTGGAGGAAAAGCAAGAAGACATGCATGTACCAACTATGTATGACACATTAACCCTGCGAGTGCACACATTCCTCCAGTGTTACGGCTGCGCTGACATTTACAGGCTTGCACAATTGCCCCGGTCGAAAATAATCAGTGTTTATGGTAGGAAGTCCCTATCTTTCAGTCCCAGCTACTTGTTTTAGGGCGGCGGCGAGAAATCACAGGAAACACCTTCTGTTGCCCGTCAGTCCCGCTGAAGCCCATAGAGTACTTTGAGATATTAAAAGCCGGTGACTTCCCTGAAATAATTGGGAGATTGTGTCTGAAAGAAAGCGTTCGAAGGAGGGTCTGGAAGAATGCACAAACAAGAGGAACTGTCACAGGAAACAGTGGGAAGGCCGCTCACCGTTTTCCTCGCCACCTGAGGACTTCACCCCCAGGAGCATGACTCCATCTTTACTGCCTTCTGGCCTGCTTTGGAAAGATGCACTTTGAAGAAAAAAAAAGGTAAAAGATTATCCAATCTAAATGCATTTAGAATAAGATTCATGCTCTGAAGTACCAAACTTACTTCTCAGTTCCCGTGTCAAGAGTTTCTGATAAGAAAAAAATTATAATAATAAAGAGAGTAATACTTTTGCTCAAATTAGAACAAACTAAATCTTTAACTTAGAAGATGCTTTTGATTCTACCTGTGTGATTGTGGACCTTCTTGCTTTTGAATTTGAGGAAAAGGCCAGCAGCGCCTACAAGCAGGATGGCGGGCAGCAGAATCCACCACAGTTGTTTCTGTGAGCCTACAAGAGGAAAACACACCCATCAACATCTAGCTAGTCTGAGTTAATCTAAAAAAAAACAAAAATAAAACGACATGAACCCACCCAGCCCCATGTGAAAGTTAACTGTGATTAACCACATTTACTTTGTTCACATGCACAAGCATCACCCTAATTACAGTTACCTTGCAAACAAGATGAATTGTCGCAAGATTTGGGAATTCACAAATTCCCAAAAATGCATCTTGCCAGAAGCAAATAGCTGCATTAGCCTCAATATGTAAATGTTTTGAACCAATGAAATGCAGTAATGTGTTTGATGTCAACCAGTAGCGGCTGCAGCAAAACAAACATGGTTCCACCGGTAGAATTACATGTAGACTCTGCTATTCTGTTGGAACACCCAATGTTTCTTTTTTTTTTAAACAAGCAAAATGATGCGATTTGTGCGTTTGTGGATGGGAGATGTTTGCTGGTTCCTCCCAAATGGATTTGGTAAGAGTTTGATTTATCACTTAGCTCCACTAGTTGTGAAACAAATCAAGAATGTGATGCATCACAGCTGCTACTGCTGGAAATCCTTTACACTTTAAAACCTGATTAAAGTGGAAATTACAGCCGATTTACATCTTAAAAACAAAACCTCCATCATTAAAAAAAGTCCAAAATATAATTTCTGTAGGCTTTTGGAACACAGAGGACATGAACAGAAGCAGAAAATAACTCAGAGGTGAAAGCTGGGTGTGTTTTTTGTGCTGCTTTACATTGATATAAAAAATGACAAGATGACATTATTTTATTTTCATATATATTTATATTTAACTACAGTGATGTAGTGTTGAACTTACCGGCACTTTTCCCAGTAGGCGATTCCTTGGCTTGACTGGATTTTTGGTGAGTATCCAGGGACGACAAATTTGCTGTCATATCAAAATGAATTTGTCAAACATATTATTTGATATGTCTGATGAAGGATTTACAAAATTTTACATGTGAAATAAAGGAAATCTACACAAACAATAAAATAAGGAATTACGGATTTTATAGCAAGATAAAATATAAACAGGAAGTTAACATGCATCATACCTGCTGGAGAGACAGTTTTACCTGTGGATAGTAGGTGTAAATATAAATGATTAAGATATTTTTTTTATTTAGAGCTTACCTTAGAATGTGAAAAAATAAGAAAGAGGTTTCCATATTTTAACATTGCATTAAACTTTGTTTAACCGAACCAACATGGTCAGCAGGTTTACTGTTAAGCGACAGAGCTTCTATCCATCATATATCTATGGGTAATTCTGACTCACCTTCAGCAGCTTCTGTGCTGTAGTTTGTCGTTACAGGACTGGTGCTTGTCAAATCTAATAATTACAAACAGCAAAACAAGACAGAGGGTATACGTTTTACAAATACTAAACATGCATTTAAATTCTCTTTTATGTCAATGTTGGGTCACAAGATGTGAATAAATATATTCTAAGATCTTTAAAAAGGAAACAAAACAGATAAAAGATCTATAAAAATCTTAATGTACCTTTGTTCATGGTCCCTATGGTGCTTGTAATTGTGTTCGGGTTTACCGTAGTTGTCATGTCAGGTGTAGGGGTAGATTTCAATAGGTCTAGAAAAAAAAAAGCAACATCTAATATTACTATTATATTATTATGGGTTTCTTTCATGTCTTTCATTTGTCACTAACAGACCCTGTTGGAGAGATTTAGCAAAAAACCGAAAAAACAAAAACATGAATCTGAAAAGTAGTTTTTCTTTAGAACAAACATATTTTCCATGTGTTATTATTAATAACATTTTTAACAGCCTTTTTTTTTTCAGGGGTTTTTTTTTTTTTCTTCGTGAACCAAACTTAACGGCCCCTCTGTAGCTCCATATAAAACCTACTTTAATAATGCTCATCTGAAGTATCTACCATTACTAAGTTATACATGCATCCTTTTCATGTCGTCTTTAGATAGAACCGCAAACTTTGGTTTACTTTGGGGGATTTTATATAGTGGACCAATATAAAATAAAGATTTTGGAATGATAGTTCAAGCTTTGAATGTAGAAAACTGCACAATCAATCATCTGAAAATGGACAGAGTATGACATGCAGGACAATAATTAGATCTGCACTCCACAAATTTGCCATCTATAGGTAATAAAGCCATTAATTATAGAAAAGAGGCATATTGTTTGGTTCTATTTGCCACCATCATGGTGAGGCATGGCTTTCTTCCAAAGACCGTAATCCGCCTGCCATAGCTACAATGGAATGGCTTATATCCAAGCAGGTTTTAATGGTCTAGTCAAAGTCCAGACCTACTGTATATTCTACTGAAAAACTAGTGCAACATGAACTCTGCTACTCACAGACATTCTCCATCATATCAGAACTACCAGATCTACATGAAATTTAATACAAATTCATCCAGTGTTTTTTGCATATTTGTGGAATCAATCCATCCATTTTCTTACACGCTCGTCACAAGTGGGGTCACGAGGGGGGCTGGTGCCTATCTCCGGCTGTCTACGGGCGAGAGGCAAGGTACAACCTGGACAGGTCTATTTGTGGAATGTTTAAACATTTTAAAAAAAAATCATGTTTCAAGTTTCTTCCATTTCATAGTTATGCACCATTTTTTTGTTGATTTACCACGTAGAATCCTGACACAAACACAGAACTCGGTGGTCAGAGTGCAAAAACACTTTGGGAAGGTCAAACCTGCAGTTAGCAGCAGGCTAAAACTGAGCTCATAACTGTGAACACACTGTGAAAAATCAAAGGTGCACAACCTTTGATTACAAATGGATACAAGGAAAAATAGCAAAAAAAAAAAAACTATTTAAAAAGGGTATGACGTGTAAAATGACTCAAAAACAGGCTTACCTGTGGTCGTGATGGTATCAGGAGGCTGAGTGATGGACTGAGTTGTTGGTGCTTTGGTGGTTCCTGTCAGTGATGATGTACCTGCTGCCGTCGGTACAACTGAGGCTTAAAAGCAAGAATAAATAAAGAGTTGAACAATGCATGATGAAACAGTATGAAAGCTTTCACAATTGTTTACACAATTACCAGGGTGAAAAAAGCAAACTGTTGTTGCTTCTTGATAAATTTGCAAAAAATATCAATCAGGTAAGCAAGCAACTTCTTTATGGATTCAGGATCAGCCCATTGGCTGATCAGGGAATAAATACCTTCCTAATTTCTTTTCTCTAAGTAAAAACATTTAAGAACAACAAAAACAATCTTACTATAGGTTCACTTTAAAACATCTATCTGTCTTAATCCACATCTGATACTTTCTTTCCTTCAAGAATTGACATAGCTGGAGCTGCAGTTTCTCAAAAAAATTTTATTTCTTCACTCACCTGAAATTTTAATATTTGTTGCAGGTGATGTATCTATAAAGAAGACAAAGAACTGTTGTTATAGAGAACAATATATAACTTTCATTGTTTGCATAATGTGAAACATCCATTGAAATGTTAAGGTTATAAAGCTAACATACGGCTTTATTTAAACGGCATTGCTGTTGGATTCAGGAATTTTAATGGAAAGACTAGATCTGTTGGATAGTTTATTTGCTTTATTTAACAGGGAAAATGAATTCAACCTTGTGTCTTAAAAGTATACAGGGTGTTTTAGCAATAGTTAATTTGCAGCCCCTGTTCCTTGCTAAGCTTCCAGGATTTAGACAGCCTTAAGAGTATGGAGTTTTGAAATATTGCTACCTTTGAAATGAACAAAAATCAACATCGTGGAAAAATACTTTGTTTAAAAACGTAAGTGTGAAATCATTAATACAATAAATGTAATTCCCTTATAAATTACAGGTGTATATGTGTACTGTACATTTCTACTTTGGTTTATAATGTGTTTTTGTACCCTCACTATGGGACATTTTAAAAAGTGTACAAAACATCCTCAATTTGAACCCTCCTCCACCAGAATAGGTTTGGTTATTTTTTTATTAAGGAACATTGTTTTAACAGCTCTCAGTTTTAGTTTTGTTTGATTAGTTATACTTCTAGTTTTAGTGGGTTTTTTTTATATTTCTGTTCATTTTTGGCCACAAGATTTTCATTTTGAATTATTTTTTCAAAAACTGTTTCAGTTACAGCTAAGTTTAGCTGCAAGACTTATATAAAAATATAAGCTTAAAGAAAAGCACACTGGCAAGTGTTGTACACTAAAGCCTGAATCATGGCTTTATTTGTCACCCAGCCTGGAGCGGCAGGGGAAAATTTCTGTTTTGGTGCAGCCCATCTAGGGGACCAGATGTCCAAGGACTTGCTGCCCTGAAAAAGGCACCCATCCACTCATCCACCCAACCGTCCAACCTCCTAAGCAACCAACCAATCCGCTGTCCAACTGACCAATTTACAACCAACCAACGCGCCGTGTAACTGACCAATGACCAAACAGCCAACCAACTAATTGGCCATTCAATGACCAACTAACCAACCAGCCAACCAATCAATGTGCCGTGCAAGTGACCAATGACCGACCAACCAACCAACTGACCAACCAGCCAACCTGCCGTCCAATGATCAACTAACCAACCAACCAGCCATCCAATGATCAACTAACAACCAACCAGCCATCCAATGACCAACTAACCAACCAACTAATCCACCGTCTAACTGACCAATGACCAACCAACCAATATCCCATCTAGTGACCAACTAACCAACCAACCAGTCATCCAATGACCAACTAAGGAACAAAGAAACAAGCCAACCAATCCATGTCTAACTGACCAATTAACCAACCAGCCAACCAACCAATCCGCCATCCAATGACCAACTAACCAACCAACCAGCCATCCAATGACCAACTAACCAACCTAGCAACAAACTAACCAACCAACCAATCCACTGCCTAACAGACCAACTAACTAACCAGCCAACCAACCAACCAATGTGCCTTGAGGGTGACCAATGACCGACCAACCAAAGAACCAACTGACCAACCAGCCAATCCGATCCAACCAACCAACTAACCAACCAATCCATGACCCAGTGACCAACTAACTAATCAACCAACCAATCCGCCATCCAATGACCAAATAACCAACCAACCAACTGACCAACCAGCCAATCTGCCGTCCAATGACCAACTAACCAACCAACCAACTGACCAACCAGCCAATCTGCCGTCCAATGACCAATTAACCAACCAACCAGCCATCCAATGACCAACTAACCAACCAACTAACCAATCCAGCGTCTAACTGACCAATGACCAACCAGCCAACCAACCAACCAATCCGCCATCCAATGACCAACTAACCAACCAGCCAGGCGTGCAGGTTACGCAGGGGTTAGCGCACATGGCCCATGTAAGGAGGCCTTAGTCCACGACATCAGCCTACTGTCCAAAAAACAAGCCACTTGTGCAGCAAAAAACTCGAAAAAAACAGTTAACCAACCAGCCAACCAACCAATGTGCCATGCAACTGACCAATCTGCCATCTAATGACCAACTAACCAACCAACCAACCAATCCACAATCCAATGAACAACCAACAAGCAACCAACCAACCACCCCAAGGGGACTGAGATTCTGTTTTAGAGCTAGACTATACAGACTGTTTTATGGTAAAACAGACTAGATTAGGCTAAAATAAAAACAATCACAGAAAAGAAAAAACATTTACAACCAATTTGGCACAAAAACCTAAGGGTCACTTCTTATGTATCCGACATTTTCTCTTGCATGTTTTCCACTTAAAGGTTTGTCCTTCAGTTTTGCATGATTCCTGTTTGGCGGAGCTTTAAAAGTCTGAGACAAAGAGCTACATGTTATTAGTGTCAGTTGGAAGGAAAAGTCAAGACAGCAGAGCAGTTTTGATGTGTTGTGAATGAACATCCTCTTCACTAAGTGAGAAGCTGCATCCTGTCACAGAGGCACAATGCTAGTCTGTGTCGGACATCCTGTCTGAACCTCTGTCTGCGCTGAACTGAGCAGCATAAATCAGCAACAGTTGAGAGCTTTGGAGATGGACGTCTCTGAGGTTGGTGGTTTTACCCTTTTCAACTTAAACTCAAGACTTTGATGAGTTACAATGGTATTCTTTGTAACTAACCTATTCTAGAGTATTGAGTTGTGAAGTCAAAATTCCTATAGTCCTATAAGACCAGCAATGTGCATGATGTCTATTTGATTCCATACTACTTTAAAAGTCCTATCATGTTCTAATGGAGGATAGTTTTGTATTCATCTATATTCATCTTCCCATTTAATCCAATCAGCTTTCTTGTGATTAGTAATAAATATTTTATTTATTTTTTAATAATAATCAAAGCCTGATCCAGCCCCCAGCTTGTTCCACCATAGGGTGGGGTGTTCACAGCCATATGCACTTTTAGCTTTTAGTAACACCACATTTGGAATAGAGGCCAAAATGTTTACATTTAGTCTTGCCTCAATAAATCTCCTTCCTGCACATGTGTGCTTTGTCCCCTACGTGACTCGGGGGAAAATTATGAAAGGGTGATATCTTTCAACAATAGGTTTGTTCTTGCCAACTCTTCCATTAAGGGGCAATTTGTGGACATAAAGCAAAAAACCTCAACAGAATCTCCACCTGAGCTGTTCATTGCTGCAGCTAAGTCACAGTTACCATGAGCCTCCTGGCAGGTTCTCTACATAACGCTTTCCCTGCATCAACCTATAACTGTAGGTACAGTCCTGTCTTAATAGGTTTGCTGCTGTGCTGTAACCTTTCAGTGCTCTGANGCTTTCCCTGCATCAACCTATAACTGTAGGTACAGTCCTGTCTTAATAGGTTTGCTGCTGTGCTGTAACCTTTCAGTGCTCTGATGGTGGATTGAACAGAGCTCAGTGAAATGTTTAGAGCTTGGGATATTGTTGCATAACCTAACCTTGCTTTAAGTTTCTCTACGGCTTTATCTGTGTTATGTCTGCTGTGTTCAGAGGTCTATGTGAAGCTGCACCATTGTTCCTTAGTAAGCCCTCTCAAAACCTCCACCACCAATGATTTGATTTGAAAACCTCAGATCACTAAATCAGGTGTGATGTACAGTGTGGTTATTTTCTTATTTCCTCTCTTTTCTAAAATGCTCTCAGCCCTATGTGACCTTAAGCATTTTGGTGTAAGCATCATCTTCCATGGCACTTTTTAGCTGGCTAAACGTCACATTATCATGTAAAATGCAAGTTAATAACTCCTGGACTTTATACTAACAATCTTTGCACACTGATATCACGATGTTTAGGATAGAAGTGTGCAATCTGTGGAGCCACAACTGGCTCTATGGACCCTCTACGATGGCTCTTAATAGCGTCTAAAAACAATAGAGAGCCAAGTCATGGTTTTGATAATATCAAATACCATTCATACAAGCTTTAGTAGGTTTTTAGAGAGCATTTGAATTTAATTTTTACTTCAGAATGCCATCAAAGAATAAGTAACATGTTTTCAGATCGATATTTTTTGTCATTAGTGGGGAAACTACATTTTACATAAAACAGAATCCTATATAACAAAATCCAAAATACCAAACTATCTTTTTCAATCTATTCCGCTTTTTATGCCAAAAATCTTTTTGATTCCTTGAATAGATTATTAGTGACATTTTTTGGAATAGGAAACCCCCTCGAGTTCCTAAAACATTATTGCCAAGATGTAAACTCAGGTGGACTTCAATCCTATTATGGGTCTACTCATATACAGAAAATGTGTTATTGGCTAAAATCATCCAGTTCTCCCAGGTGTAAATCAAACTACCTTCCTGTGTTGGGTCTTCATTATCTGGTCTAGTTTTTTCTTTACTCNCTAATTTGTTATTGGCTAAAATCATCCAGTTCTCTCTGGAGTAAATCAAACTACCTTCCTGTGTTGGGTCTTCATTATCTGGTCTAGTTTTTTCTTTACTCACTAATAATCAAGTTGTCCTTAATACACTTAAAATCAGGTCTATATTTTGCTGCCTCATCTTTATGCTCTTTGGTTAACAATAATTTGTTTCCTCCATCCCTCTTTGACCCATCACTATCAGTTTGGTATGATAGGGGTTTAAAACAAATAAGAAACCTCTATACATCAGGAGTATTTGATATTTTGCGAATTTATCTTCTAAATACAATTTACCTGGTATGCATCTATTTTGTTATCTTCAAGTATGAAATTTTACCAAATTTCCAAATGTTTCCCAAATTTTCCTTCTATGCCTCCTGAACAGCCCTGGGGATAAATTATTGCGCATAATCCAGTCCAAAAAGATTTCAAAGATTTATAGTTTGATTTTAAATCTAAGGGTTGATTCTAATCTCAAACTTAGAGATGGATGGGATAAAGAGTTGAATCCAGTTGACACAAAATATTTGGGATTATGCCATTAACAGGATTTGAACTTCCTCATCCTGTGCTCGTCTTAATTTGATCCAGTTTAAAGTTGTACAAAGGATTCACTTCTCAAAATCTAGGCTTTCTCAGATTTACCGGGATGTTGTGGATGTATGTCAAAATGCAAAGGTTCCCCCTGCGATTTGGGCCACATGTTCTTTCTGTCCCGAATTATAGAATTATTGGTCTAACTAATTCTCAATTATGTCTTCTGTCTTGAAAGTAAGTTTGCTGGGTTTGGTTTTTCTCTTTTTCCTTTTTCTTTCTTGTTTGGAATAAAAAAAAAAAAAAAGGGGGTTAAAACTGTTGGACTGACTGTAATTATGGATTATTTACTTTGGTGCGATGTTTTGTCAGTACTGTACATACTGTATAGATCTGTGTGTGACCACAGCAAGAGTTATTCTTGTATGTACATATATGTGAATATATATTTTTATATGTATGCTTGTATGTATATATGTATATATATATATATCTTTGTTTTGTTATTTCCTCTTTGGGCTCCAATAAAAAAAAAAATCAAAATAAATGCTTAATCTTCATGAAACCTTTGTGTTTTGTCCTTATTATAAAGACTTAAAAACTGCAAATAAACTGCTGTTAAAAGTTTCTTATTGCAGAGATTTAACAAAAATAATAAGATGTGTTTTATTTAAAGGTCATGTAATATTTGCGAGCTTCAATCACTATAAATTTGAAAGGTTGCAGACCCCTGGTTTAGGATATTCTGTGCTGCCCTTCATGCATAATGAGGTTAGATTAGGCGGATTGACTAAGTGACTGCTAAAGGTGATTTTGTGATGTATTTAAGGCTATCTGACTTAAAGGGGCTGAAAAAGTTTTGTGAAGGGTTTTATACATAAGACAGGTTTTATAATCAGGCACTATTTGTATAGGATTATCATATAATAAACCTATATAATACCTAATATAACCCATATAAATACCCCAGCAATAGATGTAAAATGCGCACGCTTTAGTTGTTCTGCAGTTATTTGACTCCTGAAGAAAACTGACCTCCTGTTGATTTTACAAGGTCAAAATCGGAGCCTTTATGGCTTGATGACAAAAAGCCCCGGCGAGGTCATTTCCTCCAGATGTTTACTGCTGGAAGTTGGTTTGTTTCCATCGGGGACCTTTTTGGTTGCAGGACAATAATCTGTTGTTTTGTGACAGAGGGGTCAGACTGGTTCCCACTAGTTTATCTACGCTTAGATCACCTATCAGCCCAATACAAGTGCTGCTGGCTCAGTAGAAGAAAAAAACAAACAAGGAGCCAGTAAATCTGCTCTCGCCCTTGGCCAGGCTAAGCCTTATTCTTGTTGGTTAAAAAAAGTAGTGTAAAGATTCTATGTTGTAAATTATTGCAACCTAGTTCAGAGTAGGAATTTTGAGATGGAATAATTCATTGACCTTTTTTAAAAAAAAGCTGGATAAATAGAAACTTTCTGTGTCTCAAAGGCCTTTAAATATTGGAGATCTTTATCCAGGTCCGAAACAAAATTCAACCTCAAAGAAGACATATTAAAAGCTTCCTTACTCATTTCAATTAAAGTTGAAACCTACAACCTCCTACAGCATTTTGATTACATTTAAAGTGTGAATCATCTCCCTACCTGGTGTGGCCGATCCCAGCAGCAGGATGAGAAAACTGATGGACTTCATGGTGACAGAGTGAATCTCCTCTGACTTCTCCAGACTGGAGCTGGTTGGACTTTGCTGCAAAAAGGCAGAAAAAAAAAGAGGTGTCCAAGCCTGAGCTCTCCGTCACTGATGCTTATTTTTGCACTTCCTTTAGATAAAGAACGGGAGGAAATACACTGGCTTCCCTTCCTGACGTAAAGAGGGTGGTTGTAGAGACTTGCAGCACAGCCCGAGTCCATTTGGTCCGTTTGGACTCGTAAGTCTGAGGCAACTCCCATCACTTATTTTTTCCTGCTCTCACAACATTGGATGGGTTTGGGAGGGACGACACAGGAGCAATTACATCAGCAATTATAGGAGATAAGCAAATGATTGCTTAGGAATCTGAAACACTGAAGATGCCGACTATCTTCTACAGATGGAGAGGCATCTGCTACATGAACTGAGAATGATTAACCATAAAACAAACATCTTGTTTTTTCCTGTAGAAGTTAATATAGAATATAAACAATTAAATGCCAACCATGACGTCTCACTATTATTCACTGTCTGGAACAATGCTTACAGAAGTGCTCACTGAAACACTCTTTGTTTTTACCAAAGAATGTAGATCTAGTTTTTTTTTTATTTTTTTAGTTTTTTTATTCTCCCTAACAGATTTTTTCTCCCCCCCATTATTTATGACTGTTGCACCTAAAGAATCAGAAACTCTCAAAAACAATTTGGCAAGCTGATGTAGGTCAGAAGATCTGAAAACAAAAACGGTGACAGGTAATAATGCATTGAGCTAAAGAAAACCAAGAAAAGATGAGATGCAACTCTATTTATTTTTCTCCATTAAACCACAGTGGGAACCATAAACTATAAATATAGAAAATGGGACATTGGTGAACCCTTGATTGCTCCAAAAGAACAGCAAGGACTCATCCAGGAGCTAATAAAATAACCCTGAACAGCTAAGTTGAATGGTTTTAAGTCAATTACAATAGATGAACTGGGCAACATTTGGATTTATGGGAAAGTCTCCCAGCTGAAAATGAATTCTGAGCAAAAAGAGCATGAAAACCTGCAAATATGTCTTGATGGACCTGCAGACTCTCTATAGCACATCATAGACTCTTTACATCTAAAGTAAAATGCAAAGGATTAATACGGTGTTACCATAAACACCTGACAAGTGTGCAGTAATCCAACCAGTTCTCAGGTTTAGAATATAATATTTTCACAAAGCATTGTTTGGTTTGAGCAGATCTCTTCCTCTTAATTCATTTTGAAAAACCCAAATGAATGGATTTACCGTTTAAGATCAGGCAACAGAAGGTCTAAAATGCTAAGCTGCATCTTTGGAGGAGTCATGGGACAGCTTACCTGCAGCCAGTATGGTGGTGGTACCATCATGATGCAAGTTTGTTTCACTCCCTCGGTCAGCAGAGTGAACAAAGTGGATGGACTTTTTTTTAAACCTCACTTCAAAGCAACAGAACTATGAATGGTTTGATGTTCCAGTGGCAAGATGAAACCAAAAAATGCTTTGAATTGGAAAAAAAAAAAAAAAATTAGGCCAATGTTAAGCTCATGAGAAAGCTCCTTAAAGCCTAGCTACAACCTGCTGAACTATAAGCTTTTAGGTTTTAACAAACCTTATAGAGTTAATGAGGTGAGGCAGATCTGACAGCCGACAGTTTTCTCTACCAAGGATTCATGAAGAATAACACATACAGCAAAGATGTTATTTGAATATTTTTAAATCTAAATCTGTAATCATGTGTCCCAAACTTGCTCATTGTGAAATCAACAACCGATCCGCACATTTTCTCTCACTTGGTACAATCCTGGCTTTTGTAAAATGAATATCCCCAAAAACAGGATGTGAGCGTTCACTTCCTTTGATTCGAGCATTGTGCTTTAAATAAAGCCAAAAACAAGTTTAAAGCCCTAAAAAAAATTAATGCTATTTAAGTTGGACTGCCTTATCGCCTTCACATTTAAAACAGACTAATTTTTGGAGAATTGGAATGAGGTTTGTGAAAATATTTGACAGTAGGAGCAGCTATTGGTGGTTTAGCTTGCAGGTAGGGTAACAGTGTGTTGGCTCTGCCTTCAAAGTTTAATCAAAGAAGTCACTGAGGTTGATAGGGAGGAAACACCTTTGTTCAGGAGCTGCCAAGCAACATTTTCCCAAATGCAAACTCCACACTGATTTGTTTGGTTCATAGGAACCATAGACAGAAAAAAAAATCCAACTAAAGTCAACACAAAGCAGAGCCAATAATGAGATGATGGATGAGGTGGTTTAAAGGTCAGGTTTCATTAATATTTTGTCTAAAAAAACATCCTTTTCCAGGCTGTTTGGTGAAATGTTTTTTTTCCTGTTCTTCCAACTTAAAAACAATGCACTTTTTTTTTGTTGTATTCAAGCTTTGATTTCACGATTCCCTGAAAACCCCCTTCATGTGTTCTTTTGTACAAAAATGGCATCAGAAATAAAAATGTCTTTGGTACCACACTGAATTTTTATTTTCTTAAACTAAGTGCATTTTTTCATAAATTAAAAAAGTAAGTGAGACACTGTCAACGAAATAAGTCAATTTGCTTTCAAAAATGAGAAAAAGACAACAGCGGCTTCTTATTTCAAGTGCAACATATGTAATTATCTTTTTTAAGGGTAGAAATACTAATTTCTTTCTATTCTTATTCACCTAATCAAATTAAGGGTAAATAAACATCTTTGAAGAAATGTTTTTAGATTGTTGCTTTGCAGTGATTAATTCCAGCAGATCATCCATGTCATAGAACTGAAATGCTGTACTGGATTAAATGTCCAGAATGTTTGTCCTGTTGTAGGGTCCTCTTAGCCCACTGATTAAATGGCCTATCAGGGGTCTTCAACGTTTTCCAGGCCAAGGACCCCCAAACTGATGGCTAGATGGAGCAGGGACCCCCTAATTAAATATATGGTATGATATAATGTTCTATCATGGGATTATTAAAGTATTTCTGATTCCTGGTTGATGGGACAGGTGTTGTGAATGAAACGGTGCCCAGCTTGAAAGAGCTCCTGTGTCTCACCGAATGTGTGCATTGATGACTGAAAGACATCTTCTGCCTCCATTTATCTGTTTACTACAATCTGTTGGATTCATGTTAATGTGGATTTAAAGACATTTCAAGTAGTGGAAAAAATTGCAGGGGGGAATATAAAAAAAAGTCTAATCAACCAAAACTTTCGCAACCCCTACGCAGTACCTCCGAGGACCCCCTAGGGGTCGCGAACCCCCTGATGAAGACCTCTGGTCTAGATTTTAAGGCCAGGACACAACAAATCCGGTTGTGATGTTTAGCTCTCATTGAAAGTCGATGGGGATGATCACACCATATGTTGTGCAAAGGCGCTTGCATAGGTCTATTTTGGACGGACTACGCAGCAATTCAGCGGCAATTTCATGGGTCTGACAGGAAGTGAGACGTGGTTTGCAATAAGTCTGTATACATCTGAATTTTTTAATATCAAAACACTGAAACATCTTTACAAATATGGTCTGAATCAAGACGCACATCTAGGGTTTTTTTTATTTTCTGCATAATACCTTAGTTAAAGATGTCTGACCTGCTAAACCTAAGTCTTTTTTTTCCAAAGCATTTAAAACCTTTACATCCTTGGAGCAAACTCTTTCCTTTTAGAGGTAATTCTGCAGCAGGTTCTTCAAATAGATTCAGACAACACGCAGTTTTCATTTCATGTTGAAATTCATGCACATTTTTATTGAACAGTTATATAAAATACTTCTCCTAGTTGCAAGTGCATGCCTCATCATCATCATCATCATCATCACCATCTGCCAACAGTTTCCGGAGTTAAATTACAAAAAGCAAGGCTTCATGTCGTGTAGTGAATTACTTGGGCACTTAAAGCAGTTCTTTAAAAAAGATCTAAGTATATTTATATTTTTATATATATATATATATATTTTGTTGTTGTTTCATTTTAAAGTATTGAGCAGTATCAAACCTGTAACTGATATACAAAGCAGAGTTCCAAATAAGATTATAAGAGGAATCAAATTACACTTTCTGTGGCACATTTACAAAAAAAGCTAAAATAAAATAAAAACAAAATAAACCTCAAGAAAACTGATTTTCACCGTTTTTATAGGACACAAACAACTAATCATGCATTTTTTTGGGAGATCCACATGTAACCACACACCTCACGAGAATTGTCAAACATGCTTAACTGGACTGTGTGCACTCACAAGCGCAGGTTAAAAATAGGATTTCTCATCCATCATCGATCATTAAATGCTTCAATTACAAAACAAAAGGAGAATCAAAGGCATAGAGCGTCTCGGTGTTAATTCAAAGTATGCAAGTATACGTTTCCAGTATATGTTCACTAAAGCGCAATATATCTCAAAACAGGCCTCCACAGCCAAGGTATTCAGATTTTTCTAATTCCTTTGATTTTTATAAAACATGCATAGGCAGACACTTTTATCATGTTTTTTTTTTGTTTTTTTTCTTACACAATATAGGTTCTCTATTTTTACTTTGTTCGCAATACTTAAAAAGAGAAAAATTTAACACTCAATTCCAGCAAGCCACAAAAGAAAACAAATAAAATCTACCCCCCCTCCCTCGCAAAGTCCCCTGTTCAGATAGACAAAAAATAAACGTATTTGCAGATGATAGATAGGTAAGTGTAAATTCCAGTTATGAAACTCAAGAAAATAGGTATTCATTATACAGAAAAATCAGGTTGAAGCACACACCAAAATAACCTGAGGTAAGCAGAATATGTACAAAAACCATAAAACGTTCCATTATTTGGCATTTTGACAACATTGCAACATTCCTTTTTTTTTTAAGACTGCCTAATTAATTTCAGCGCTAATTCATAAGAGTAGCAAAAAAAAAAAAAGAAAAAAAAAGTCATCAATAAATAGTCCTTATTTAGTTTGTACACCCTTATATCTTTAAAAACATCACCTTTCTCATGTTCTCTTCTTGTTTGCTTTTTTTTTAGTGCTGTGTTCTTGTAAACGTACAATAGTTAGTAAGAAGTTACACGACTTTCCATTCCGGTGTAAATGAGAAAAAGGGTCGTTTAAGAAAATAATAAAACAAACCAGACAACTCTAAGGTCTCTCTCTCTCTCTCTCTTCCTGTTTTTCTCTGACGGACAGCGATGTGAGGCGCGGACAGGCGCTCAGAAATATGACC